AGTTGTATGTCATAGCTGCACATCCTTCTAGTTGCTGTATGTGGGACTCGGCCTCAGGATGGACGGAGAAGTGGTGCCTCGGTGCGCACCCGGGATCCGAACCCGGGCCGCCAGCATCGGAGCGCGTGCACTTAACCACCAAGCCACGGGGCCGGCCCTCAAAAATACATTTTTAAATGAATGTTGAGTGAGTTAGCATTACCACCCAGCTCCCCAACACACGAAAATCTCAATTTCATCCCACTTTACCCTTCTCCCGTCACTCCAACAACCCACATCGTGTAATGGAAATCTTCATGAGAGGAACCAATGGGAAAAAATGCAGTCTTGTCCTCTATTTAGGAGTTTTTGTCTTTTGAGGTCTTATCTGGTGATTTTTTTTCTTCTTAATGTCTTGTGATAAGCAACCTCCAACCATTAGCATTGGATATTGCCACTCAACATTCTTCAGACACAAGATAGCAGAACCCTGACAATACATCAGTCAAAAAATTAAAACACTGAGATAAGAAGGAATGCTGGATGTTACTGGTCAGTGAGTTGATTGTCACAAAGACACCATCCAAAAAGAAACAAAAGCCAGAAGAATGTGATCCTGAGCATCTGCTGCCAACAGCCCTCCTCTTCATAAAGTTGGGCAACTTCAGTAGCTGGGCCCTTCAGACAGCTCACCTCAATTCCTCTTATTCTCGTCTTTTTGAGCCCTTCCCCCTTTCTAACCGCCTCCTCGCTCCTTCCCTGGGCTTCTATGACTCTGCCCTTTCTGACTCACTTCCTGCTTCTGTGCCTGTCTTTCTTAGCGACCTTTGCTGATTCCTTTAACTCTCTAAATGTAGGCTTCTCTGTGAGTTCTACCCTTTGACCCTCCCCTCCTCAGCCCCCCGTTTTATTAAAAGTTAAAAAAATTTTGATTGTGGCAAAATACACATAACATAAAATTTACCATCTTAATCATTTTTAAGTGTACAGTTCAGAGTGTTAAGTAAATTCACATTGTTGTGCAACCAATCTTTAGAACTCTTTTCATCTTGCAGAATTGAAACTCTGTACCTGTTAAACAACAACTCCACATTTCCCCCTCCCTCTGGCTTCTGGCAACCTCCATTCTACTTTCTGTGATTTTGACTACTCTAGATACTCATATAAGTGGAATGATACAGGATTTGTCTTTTTGTGACTGGCTTGTTTCACTTCGCATAATGTCCTCAAGGTTCATCCATGTTGTAGCATGTGTCAGAATTTCCTTCCTTTCTAAGGCTAAATAATATTCACTGTATGTATATATTATATTTTGTTTATCCATTCCTCTGTGAATGAAAGCTTGAGTTGTTTCCACCTTTTGGCTATTGTGAATAATGCTATTATGAACATGAGTGTACAGATATATCTGTTTGTATGTCATACTGTTTTCCATGGTGACTATACCATTTTACATACCCATCAACAGTGTACAAAGATTCAAATTTTTCCACATCCTCGCCAATACTTGTTATTTTCTGTTTTTTTTTTTATAGTAGCCATCCTAATGGGTGTGAAGTGGTATCTCATTGTAGTTTGGATTTGCATTTCCCTAATGGTTAGTGATGTGAAGCATCTTTTCATGTGCTTGTTAACGATTTGTGTATCTTCTTTGGAGAAACGTCTATTCAAGCCCTTTGCTCATTTTAAAATAGAGTTGTTTGTTTTCTTGTTGTTGAGTTGTCTCAGCCCCCTCTTCTGAAGGGGAGGTCTCATCCTTCCCATGGCTGCAGCTACCTCCTTTATCTGGTCTGTGGACCTCTCCTTTATCCTGAGCCCTATAGTGGACTTTTCTCACTCTGATCACCCAGACTAGAAACTTAAGGTTCTTCTCTGACTTCCTATATCTTATTTCTCATATGCAATTGGCTGCCAAATCTGTCAGTTGGATTTCCACCATGTTGGTTTAATCTGTCTTCTCCCTTCTGGTGTTACAGCCATTGCCCTGGTTCCAGGGTGCCAAGGGTAATCTCTTGATCTCAAGGGTGATTTGATGTTGACTCATCTCTGGTCTCTGGTGAAATCTCGGAGAGGGATAGCATGGGTGAAGGGTGAAAAGAACATATTATCCAGAAAAGGAATGAAATTTGAAAGAACATATTTTATATTCAGAAAACAAAAAAGAAACTTCTTTTTTAAGACATGGAATAAAGCTCCATAAAATATGCTTGACTTGAAGGACTGTACAAATGATAAATTATCTTTTGTGAACAGTGATTTACGATATTGATACTGATCAGAACTAACATATTTGTTGAGCACTTAATGTATGCCAGGCACCAAGTGTTTTATGCACATCATCTCTTTTAACCTCATAACAACCTTATAAGATGGATAGTATTATCCAGAAAAAGAAGCTGAGGCATAGAGATGCCCAGAGTCACCCATCTAGTAGGTGGTAGATGTGGTATTCAAACTCTGGAAGTCTGGCTCTAGAACTGTCTGTATCGTTAGAGGAAGCCAAGGCTTTTCTATTTTCCAAAAGGGGGCATGAATTAAATGAACCTCAGAAAACCTGGCCTTCAGGAAGAGTCCCAGGCTTCTCATCTTCTACCCTTCCCCTCTCTACGTGCTCCCTGCCTCCCGCCCATCTTGCCAGCTGGGGAAAGTTCTCTCTCTATGCCTTTGTGGGCACTATGGCCTCTGAGCTACTCCTGAATGGGTCTAGATTTTGTCTCATCTCTGTCACTTGCATGTACTGTCACTGTAGAGTGCCCTCTCCCTCATCATCGCATTTCCCACTTCTATCGTCTTTGAAGAATTGCCTCAGTGGTATTTCTTCAAGGAAACCTGATCCCTCATCCAAGCTGGACTCGCTCTCCAGCTCCTCCTCATAGCATGCTTATCACGGGGCTCAGAGAGAAGTGAGAGCACTCATAATATCTCACCTTACTGTCCCCAGACCTGTTCATTTTCTTCCCAACTAGACTGTAGGTGACTTGAGACAAGATTTGCCTACTGAGACCTAAGCACGTTTGTATTCCTCAGTGCCCAGCATGGAGTGTGTTGTGAAAATGATAAGCTAAAAATATTCCCCAAAGTGAGGGTCAGGCAGTCATAAAGTCTAAAGATGTAGTTTTAACTTAATTTCTATGGGTCAACCAGAGTTGCCATCCCCTGAACAGACCCAGGAATCTTTCCTTTGAGTCAGAGAGCCTACCCTCCCTCTTCTCGCTGTGCCCTGATGAGAGTCTCGTTTCAGAGCTTTACGTTTCCTCCTTGCTGCAGTAGTTCTGTTAAGCAAACAGGAAGTTGCTCCTAGGCACTTTCACCCACATGCTAAAATGAGCAGTGGCCAGGAGAGCCATAAGGGAACTGGACTGTGTCTGCAGGGAGGTGAGGCCAGCCCAGAGACACTGGCTCACTGGCTGCCTATTGAGGCTGGTTCACTGGACATTTCTGGGGGAATGGCTGAGGGGAAGCAAAGCCAGGGCACTCTTGTTTTATTTCACTTTCCCCTGAGGTGGCCAACAGTAATGGGTGAATCAGCAGGGAAAGGCAAGAGTGACAGTGACCTCAGTCATGGCATCTGAAGAAAAAGTAAAGCCTTTTTTTTTTCCCTTCCAGAAGCTTAAGTGCTTTGAAGAAGGCTTCTTTTCCCTGCTTAAAAGAAAAATTCCTTTCTTTTAAGTTGCCCAGCATGCCTTGCTATAGCTTTCTCTCCAACTCATCCTTGTCTCACGCAAGCTTAGTTCCCATGCCAGGCATGTTCCAATCCCCTCACCTGGGCTGCTTCCCTTTCCTTGCTCCTCTGTGCTGCAGCCATCTCCAGATGATCTGGGTGGCAGATGGCCAAGTGCCCTTGGCACTTTTGGAAGCCCTGAAGGTGTCCAGCTCCCTCAGGCTTGGGCTCGTCATTATTGGTGTTTCTGGGTTGGCTTCTTGCCCATAAGGCCTGGGTATAAACCTTCCTTGGTTGGTAGAGATTGACCTGGATGGTGACCCACAGCTTGGAGACATTTGGGATCACAGGCCCCAGCACACAAAATGTACAAGGCCTCATTCGTTGCTGGGAAGCATTTGGCAGGTGGGTGTTGGACCCAGCTTTGGGCATGTTGACCCCCTGGATACCATCAAGGCCCAGGGGAGCTCTTGAGTTAGGAGAGAAGCTAGCTTTGTTCTTTGGGAACCAGGGTAATCATTTCCCATTACCTTCTCATAATATTGGATATTCTCTCTCTGGCTGTGTGGGATGGATGAAACTCACCAAAGCAAAGTGAAAGTTGGAGAATTCAGGTGACATAGTTCCATTTTGAGAAATTCTTGTGAACTTCTTCAAGAAAAACTTCAAGTAGCCTGCTATATTTTTCTTCTTATATTTCAGATTCTTTTGACACGCATAAATAATTTTCTTCCCATTTCTCCAGAATTACCTAACTTCAACTCTTCGTTTTTGATTATCTGCAGTCTAGGGGTACATGGACAAGTCTCCAGTTTATTGGTAATGTGGGATTCAGAGGAGGAAGCTGGCAGTAGTCTTATTATTGCAATTAATTCTCTGACTCATGAGGGTAGGCATTATCAAACATCACAAGTAATGGAATAGTTCACATGATATGGGAAAACCGTCTTTTCTGATTTCATTATGGAACACAGGAGACTAGCAGGGCAATACCAGCTACCGCTGTGTATTTGCAAAATCTACATACATTTTTATCTATGGGTGGGTAAAAAAAAGGAACCCAAGACATATGACTGAATTGCAATGTTTCTTCTTCCTGTTTGTAAACAAGGGGCTATTCCCCCGCTCTGTGGTGCTTGGATGGGTTTGAAGATCTGGGTCAGCTTAGCCTTGTTCAGAATTCCTTCTTAAACCTGAAAACCCAAGGCTCTGCCTTCAAATAAATGCCTCCAGAACAGGGAGTATGTTTATGACATTTTAATGTATAATTTGTTCTTCCACAAATGTGTGAGCAGAGGAGCTCAAGGCGTGAGATACCAGTTGCACGTACACAGCACCCATTTATTCATGTGCGTTCCAGGTGCCAGCAGACGTTGAGAAGTGTCAGGATCGGATGGAATGTTTCAATGCTGATCTGAAAGCCGACATGGAGAGGTGGCAGAACAACAAGAGGCAGGACTTCCGGCAGCTGCTCATGGGAATGGCTGACAAGAACATCCAATATTATGAGAAGGTGATGAGCATGGTGATGAGCATGTTGACGAGACTACAGCCCTCTCATTAAGGAAGCATTGCTAATAGCCAGAGTCTTTCGTAAGGACCTGCCGGAAATCCAGAGGCAGGGACAATCCTGCCAGTCCCATCTCCTTCCCTAATTTTATGTGTTTAGCTTTAGCAACCCCTGCATGTCCTTCTCCTCTGTGCTAGATGCAGTGCTGAGTTTGGAAGCAGAGGCCCCCCGGGTGCCCACAGGGGGTTCACTTGCACACACTGCTGATGGAAGCCGCAGCTTTATCTGTCATGCCCTCTGGTCCTGCTGGCTGCCTGCTTCCCCTAGTCAGTTAGGCCCAGCGCAGGGATGCCCCAGGTAAGGGAGGTTTGGGGTTGCTTTAAGCTGTCTTGTAGTTCTACATGCAGGGGTTCTTCACTTTCCTAGTGCCATGGACCCTTTGGTCATCTGGTGAAGCCTGTAAACCCCTTATCAAAATAACTGTTTGTTTTCTTTAAATAGACTTTTAAAGACTGTTTTTAAATACCTAAAATAAGGGTATGTAGGATTACAAAGGAAAACTGTTAATAGTTTTTTTCGTGAATCCCTTTGATCTGTGCACTTCAGGTTACGCAGCACACACGCACACAGGCATGCACACACGCAGGCACATGCATGCACGGCTCTCATCAAGCTGCAGCCCAGTCTCCTCAATCAAGGCTTGCTCCTAGCATATCCAAATCTAGATCATTTCTGCTAAGGAATCCTAGTATTTATTAAAAGCTGAGTTATAGATGAAGAATGGCTTGCTCACAATTCAACAGATAATCTGCAGAGTTGACATCAATCTGGACAGGCACTAACTTGGCTTCTCCCGCCACAATTCTAGAAACACGTCCACCTCCCAAACTAGAAGAATCCATCTTTTTCTAAGGCTTTGATGGGTCTGGCTGCTCTTCAGAGGCAGAGTGTCTGCATCTTTCCTGGGAGGAGAGTTAAGGAAACCAGTCATGGAATAGCTCTTGCTTGCCAGGTCTTAGGAAGGGCTAGTTTAGAGGGGAAGAGAAAGGTGGCAGACTGCTTTTCTCAACACTGGTTTTATGAAGGCCCTGCTGTGTGCCTGGGCTGGCTATGTATACGTCATCTCATTTAACCCTCACCATAATAACCCTGTTACTTGGGCTGTATGATTCTCAAAGCTGAAGAAAGAGACTCAGCAAGATTTTAAAACTCTGCCCAAGGTTATACAGCTTTGAGTGACTGAACAAGGATGAGATTCAGCTCTCCAGGTCCACAAATCTGAAAATTCCCACTCCCACATACTGTCAGTGTAGGGGACAGGGGCCATGTGTCCTCAGGAACAGTCCTGACTGCCCAAAGGTGAGAAGATCATTCCATGTGAAGTCAAGGCCTTGTTCCTCTGCTGACCACACCCTTAGGCAGGGTACCTCTGTTTCTTCATCTGTATAACGGCAGTGATCCCTCTCCACTGAATGATTGTGAAGCTACAATGAAGTAATGCATACCCGAGTGCCTAGAACATACCTTGCACATGGTAGATACTCAGTAAATGGTACTTCCTTCCCTGATCCCCTCACCTGCCCTCCACTGTTCAACGGCCTTCCCACTATACCAAAGCCAACTCAATCGGATGTGTCTATCAGTCCTTGGTGATAATGCCAGCATTCCCAAGGCCCTGGGCCCAGGACTGAAACCCAGGTCTTTTGTCTATGTTTGGTAGTCTTCCCACTATACCACACACAGGGTCACTGTCTTGGAGCCTCATCTTGGCTCCTACATATATTTAAAAAATGCTTTTTGTGTACTTACTGTGCGCGAGGGACTGGGTATACACATTGGTAAACAAAACAGCAGAACTTCTGCCTTAAGGAGCCCTGGTCCAGTGGAGGACACATGTTAATCCAAGAATCCCAGCTCTGCACAATGAGATACGTGCTTTACAGGAAAAGAACAGGGAAATGTGGGAGAAAATACTAGGGGCATAATTTAGATTAGGGATGGGAGGGGGCCAGTGGAGTGGGCAGGAAAGGCTGATCTGAGGAAGTAATGTTTCATCTGAGTCTCAGAGACAAGGACTTGAGGAGCAAGTATTCCCGGCAAAGGGAGCAACGTATGCAAGGGCCCTGAGGTGGGAAAAAGCTTGAGCATTTGAGGACTGAGAGGAAAGCTAGTGTGGGCTTGGTTCCCCATTGCTGACATAGAAGGACCCTCCCAGATTTGAGATAATGGCCTAGGGAGAGAACAGGACCCAGAATGCCGCAGACCCCACACTGGGTCTCTTCCTGAAAGCCAGCTCCTTGAGGCTCCCCAGGCTTCTTTATGTAGGGCAGGGTCCGAGTCTAGCTTCTTCTCCAACCTCAGAGTCACCAGGGAAGGAAGCAGGAAGCGATTTCACCACTCCCCTCTCTGGCTTGAGCTAAGATGCCTCTCTCCTCCCACCTCCTCAGAACTCCTCCCCAAATGACTCAGTGCAAAGTCCTGCCTCACCCCTGGGCTGCTTCGAAGAAAGGCCTTCTGTGGTTCTTCTGTCCTTCCCTTTACAAAAGGGGATTGGTATAGTGGAAAGAACATCTGTTTTCGAATCATGAGCTCTACCACTTAGTAGCTGTGTATCTTGGGCAAGCTATTTAACCTCTCTGGGTCTCATTTTCCCCATCTATGAAGTGTGTGTGTGTAATAAATAATAATAATTCTACTTCATAGAATTATTGTGAGGACTAGCGATAGTGAATGTAAAATATGTAACAGTGTTTGGACATAATTAAACTCAATAAATATAGAGTTCTCTCAGGTACCTATTTTCCCTTTTGGGAGATCCAGGTGTGGTGAAGAAGAGTGAGTTTTCCACCAGCTCTGAGTCAAGTGGCTGGCCCATTCCAATATGATTTACATCCTTATGCAAGCACCACCCACACCCGGAGCAGTGTTTCCATCCTGGCTGGGAACCTAGGGCCTCATCAAGGGTTTGCAGCCTTGTCTTTTTTCTACTTTTTGAAGGGAAAGAATTTCTTTTAGTGAGTACAGTTCCACTCACTGGATATGAGCTTGATGGACAATGCATTTAGGCCTTGCAGAGACGCTGCTGTCTTTTGTAGAGATGGGGGTGATGTATTCAAAACAAACAGCTGTTACCTCTCCTGTTTCTAATAGTTGTGGATAATACATGTAGGCGTCATTAGACAAAGGTGAGCCAGCAGGACTGACAATGAAAGGGTAGGTCAGAGCAGAATTAAGAAGCTGACCCTGGAATCTGAAACTCGATGCTGATCCTCTGTGCGTGTGTTGTTGTTGCAGTGCCTCATGGCGTGGGAGTCGATCATTCCACTACTGCAGGAGAAACAAGAGGCCAAGTAAGCTCCCTCGTGGGACAGACTCTTCTGCCTACGCGGGGCATGGCGCACACACCAGAATGTCCCTGCGGTGCCAGAGAGGCGACACTGGGAAAACAACCACGGAAACATCTCCCCTTTGTGTATTTCTTTCCCTTACACCCCTCCCTGTCTGACAGTTGGTTTCAATTAGTATTTATTCCTTGGTGGAGTCTGTAAGGCTATGATCCTCTCCCACAGAGGAGGCATACCTCCGTGCTGTGAAGGAACCTCCTAAAGTAACACTACGGACATTTGAAACTGAGGGACAAGACAGCCCTCGGCTGACGTTTTGACATCTCATTACGGTTTCCTGTTTGGGGACAGCAGAGTTGCCTGTTGTAGACGAGAACCCATGTCCTGCTTTTCAAGGACGTGAGGAAGGCACACATAGAAGGCAGCTGTCGCTTTCCTTGGATACGTGGCAGCTCTGGAATTGACCTCCGTGGGCATTGACTTGTCTCAGCCTAGAAGGAGGTGTTGGCACCTCCGTGGAAAGTCCCTCATGCACAGTGGCCTGCAGCTGTGAGTGTAGCCTGCTGCCTGCTTGTGATGAATGACACCTGTTTTATGGTTTCCAGTTGGTGCAGGACCATTTAAATCAGCGTCTATATGCATCCATGCTAGAGTGAGCAAGCCAGCGTTCTTGTCCTTATGCGATGCCCCGGGAAGCTGGGGGAGCAGTGCTCCCCGAACTTGTTTCTGACGCTAGAATGCAGTAGATTTGAAACTGTTTTTGTGTAAAATGAAAAAAGGTGCATTTTTCTCAGTGAGTTTTTCAATGTTTTTCTTTCGCTTGTTCAGTGTCATCCGAGTAGAGATTAGGCCTGTTCGGAAATATCTATTGTCTTGAAGTCAGGGTAGCTCCCCAGTTGTTGAGGTCCGTGGGCACACACCAAGCTCCACCTGCCACATCTGCTTTGTGCAATTTGCCTTTACCTCACCAAAAAGTCCTAGTTTCATGTTTCCTACTGTGTCCACTGAATGTTTGGGCAACCTTTTGGTGAGAAGCTGGTATGTTGTTAGGACACAGTTGAGATTTTGTAAACTCAATGTGAATGTTCTACATGAAGTGCTTTAACCTTCAATAATTCCTGGTCGGGAAGCAAAGTCAGAATCTGGACGGGCCTTGAAGAGGACAAGCGCACCAGCGAACTCTCCGCTTCTAGTTGAGTTCAAGTCTCCTCAATTTGCAGCCCAGCCCCTGGGTTCTGCTGGCCGCATCTAAAGTCTTCATTTCAAACTATTACCAGGTTTCCTTTTCACATCAACACAAAACTAACAGACACAAGGATCTATCTTCTAACTCATTTTTTTTTCCCCTTCCTGAAATGAAGCTACATAGGTCATGTTTGCATTCCTTCATCTGTGGCTCATTCCTGTAAAATTATAAATCTGAGCCTCAAAGAAACGGTAGTATTTTTTTTAATGAAACAGCTGTGCTGAGACGCTGCTGCATATGTAAGTTAACCTGCAAATACCGATCAACGTGCAGCATGTTGAAGTCACTTCATTCCCTTTCTAACCGCAGGGTTGACCTTGCCTCAGCCACAGCTGTGATGCTGTTGGGGCAGCCGTTGGACGGCACAGAACAGTTTGGTTCTGTTTCATCGTGTTTGAAAAAGTCACAGTTTAAATTATAATTTTTATAGCAATTGGTACTTGCCTGCACTGTCAGACCTCATTCGTGCCATTCTAAAATCCTTTGATGTGAATTTTCAGTTTGGTACAATTAGAAATGTTCATTGAAGCAGAAGGGTAAGAACAGTCCACCTACCCTGAGTGGTGACTCAGTGTTTCATTCTACCTCTAAACCATGATGTTGGTGTGGGTACGGATGTCCAGGTCCAACCTGATGGCCTGCTGATAGAATCGGGGTGTGTATCGGCAACCTTCTATTGATATTTGGCAGAAGACACTAAACTGACCAGGCAGCGAATGCTCACCTTTGGGAATGTGTAAAGCCTTGCCTTCTGGAATGTGTGCTTTAAAAATGTTGTCCAGTGTAACAAATACTTGGAAAGAACTGTGGAAAGAGTTACGGGAAGACTAGAATCTAGTCTGCTGCTAGTTGCCAAAGCCCAGGGACATTCCTGTCTAAGGGTTAGTTGGGAAAGAAGGCAGCCCTTCAAACAAGTCATTTGGTTCCTCGCTGGGACATATGGGGAAGGGAGTGGGTACACAGTCATACCCTTACAGTATTGGAGGCAGAAGACTGGCTCTGAAGGGATTCAGGCATCTTGGGATTTTGTCTTTCTCTATTTGTTTGGTCCCCAAGTGATGTTCCTGTGCTTTAAGACAGGAGAGAGGGCTAGAACAAGGCCAACTGTCCTCCAGCATGCCGTTAATAGCAGAGCTGGGAAAACCAGTGTATGTTAGACTTCCTTGGAGAAATGGCCTTTCCAGAGAAGGGACCCTTGTCCCTTACTTCAGGCTAGCATGTGGTGAGGTGACAATAGGCAGTAAAGGAGGCTCTCCAGTCCTTCCTACCCCCATGGCTCCCTCGGGCCCCTGAGGGTCAGCAGCCCCAAGCATTCGCCTCTTCATGTCCCTCAGCACAGAGGTGATTCCCTATGAGAAGTGTAACGCGGAGACTTCTGTGCCAAAAACTGCCTTGTAGAGGCTTCGTCAGCCCATCCTTCTTGGCTCCACAAAGTCCTGGTGCTGAGACCACCGACTCCTCTCGTGTTTATTTTCCAGGAGATTTTTGCTTGAGGACGCACCTTACCTCAGGCAGACAGACATGGGCAGGTTTTGGGGCTTGAGCACATGGCAGTGGAATGGAAAGTCATCCCTGTCAACTGCCTTTGGGCCTGGATAGTGACAGGTTTCCTTCACCCAGGTTAAAAATCCAGGCTAAGGCAGAAGAGAGAATTCCCAGAAACTGAGCGAGTTTAGAGATGTAAATGAGTTGAAGAGAGCAGCTGTGATCTGTGGCAGGTATGGACACTGCTCGTCCTTATCATGTGCTGGATCTACAGGAAGATTCTAGGCTACTCTGCTCAAAGCAGGGAACCGCTGCTCCTAATCGATGAGGGAACGTCTTACACAGCCAGGTTTAGGGTTGGGTTTTGTCCTTTAATAAGACTTAATAACGATTCCTAGTGAACTCTGCTAAGTGCGATTATGGAGGTGATTGGCTCGTATTTCACTGTGCTGCTCATGGAACAAACCAGCACAACTCTAGGGATCGTGGTGAATGTATCATAAGTTGGTCTTCATGCCAAAATTTCAGCTGCACCCAGGGCGCATTCTATGTGTTGTTGAATTGAATGTGCTTTCTCAGTTGCCATCTACATGAGGAAATTAAGAGCACACTTGCTGCACATTTCTTGTGAGTTTGCCTTTTGTGATGGAACAAGGGAAGTTCTGCTTTAGAGGAGGGCATGATGGCCGTGTGGCAGTCTGCAAGTGGTGTTTCTCTCTTGGGATGGTGTCAGACCAAGAAACACCCAGAATTTGTGTGACTTGTTCCTGCCCTTGATAGCATTGAAATCTCAGGCACCAGGCTCTGTTTTGACGCCATTCATTGGCTTGCAGTATAGTCCTTCTCTGTACTATCCTGAGAGAAGGGAGAGCAAGGTCTAGAGCGGCCTCCTAGGTCCGTGTTAGCCTCATCTGTTTGGGTCTTGGGATGGGTTAGCACTGGGCTCTACCCTGGCTGCCCTAAAGGGTGTTTCTGCTCTGAAGATGGGCTGCCTGTGGTCATGGCAGGGCGCACCAATCCTGGACCCTGCCTTGCCAGACGCCTACTCTCAAGGCCTGTGGAAACTGGGTAATCTGATTATAGGGCTGAGGTAACACTGCTTTGGCCACCCCCATTTACAAAATTATGTTGGGAATTTGGGTTTGCCTTCTCACTTTCAAAAGTCCTCAAGATGGCAACAGATTGGACATCCCCTCTCACTTCTTAGTCTCTCTTCAGATAGCAGGTGGCATTTATCAGTAAATTAGAGGAAAATGTCATGCCCTGGGCCAGACTTACGGATTGAGCTGGGCGTGTTGGAGTTGTTCTCCTCTTCCTTGTCGTTTAAGTCAGTGAATAAACCAGAAACCCAGTTTTTCATCAACCCACCCAATAGGTGGTTGGCTTTTTGTTTGAAGGATATCGAGTCTCCCCGTAGTTGCACAGATCAGAGCATGCGCAGGGCTATCTGCATTATAAAGGTTGGGGGGCAGGGGACTTTGTTATAGGGAGTTTGACTGTTCTTAATCATATGTGTTTGAAATGCTTTCTGGGTATGGCTGTCTAACTCCATCTATGTGGCAGAAAATGTATTATCCTGATAATTTTTACTACTACAGATAGCCTGTAAATAAGTGCTTTGAAAAAATAACTGTAACAAACCAATAAGATATTTGTCTCATATATAAACATTCTGTGTATTTAGCACTTGAAAATCAACAAATCCAGACTTTCAAAAATGCCACAGACTGTTAAAGAGGCCTAACTCAACTTTTTGAGAATCTGTCAACACCTATTAATATGCCTTATTCTTCAACTAGTGTTTTTCAGATTCTGGACAGAAAGCGTTTTTAGTAATGTAGCCAGTTGTTCAGCTTCAAGACCAGAGGTCTAACATAGCCAGTCCTTAGTCCTCTCAAAGAAAACAAAGAAGAAAGTGAGGTTCGTAATAAGGGCTGCCTTTTGGGAGGAGAAAGCTAAGTATTGCTATTGCCAAATGATATTTTTGATAATGTAAGGAAACACAGGGACCACAAAACCTTTTTTTATTTTAAAGTGTTTTAGTGCCTTTTGGCACACTTTTGATAGTAGAGGATATATGGTATGAGCACTGACAAATCACATAGCTACAAAGAACTCTAGAGATTATGACAATATTAAAGGTTTACTCTGATTCTGCAGAACAGCTTTTGAAAAAATACTGTGGGGGCCTCAGAGCAGCGTATTTCACATAGAAATTCTCCACAGGTTGAAATACCAAAAACATAAAACATACTGTGTTGACTCACATAATTTAGTCCACATTAACAGAGCTTGTCCTATTAAAGCCAGTGATTGGGTATGGCACGTGCGCCTCTCCCGGTAGCGCCACCCTCACCAGGTGATTCCAGGCTCCCTGTAAGCCAGGTCAGAGCAGGGAGCACCTGTTGACACCCCATATGACGGGCTGGTTCACAGTCAAGACCAACCCTCCAGTCACAAATGATACTGGAAGGAAGGAAGGGGGATTGCTTTGTCCTCGGTGTGGAAATGGGGAGAGGAAAGTAGATTGTAAACAAAAATGTGCATCAGTATGATAAAACGATGCCTGGGTCAGCTGGGCTTTCATCGAATTACAAACCGGCAGCTCTTAGCAGTCAGCATTGTTCGCCTGGACACCCCTGAGGTTTTGGTCCAGTCCAGTAGACACCCTGTCCCTTGTACTTCTGTGTGCCTCTTCCCTTGATGTCTGTGAGTCGGGAATGCCTTGAGAGATGATGTACATCTGATAGATTCCCATGAACTAAACTGCCAGCAAACTTTCTAACTTGTATTTTAACTGTTGAAAAAGAGAGAAAGACTTTTGCCTAGGTCATGTCCAAATGATGGACTGTATTTCTTGTTTTTAGAAATCATCCTTTACATTTAAAATTTTAAAAGAAAAAACCCTGCTGAGGTATTGATCAAGTCCTCTGTGTAAATACGTTCTCTTCTCTCCATGCTGCCATTACGCCAAATCAAAAGCTGTGAAAAAAAAAATGCGCTCGAGAATGTGTGTAGAGGATAAAGTGATTTATTTACAGATTCAAGTCATTGTTTCATGAAGCC